CCGCCAAGGCGTTAAAAAGGTGGGTTTTTACCAAAAATGTGTAAAAGGACGCCATCTTGCCTTTTGAATCACGCGAAACAGCCGTGACGTCCGTGACCTGCTCATGTATGCACGCAAATGCAAGTCACAAACTCACAAAGATCGCCTTTGCATTTGGAGAAAATATCTTCGACTCTCTTTGGAGGTAGGCGAGGTTTGCCTAATCTTTACTTGATTGCGATGCCGGTATGTCCTCTCAATAATTAGAACAAAGAGAGCTGATGATCGCTTCATTGCTGAGCAGAAGTAACAATCAACTCTCCTCATGTCCTCAGTGCCAAAGGCAGACGGCTGCAATTCCACAACGCTGATTTCACGATGATGGAAACAATAATCGTGTACTAGTACACACTTGGACCATTTGGTCATCCCTGTTCTAGCCGCTAGTCCGTCCAGCAAGCAGATATTGACTATTACGATAAGGACAACTGCGTGAACGAGGGCTCGCCCAGCAAATTCAATTCAAGACGTGACTCCAGTCAAGAATTAGGGTCTTTACTCGAGAACTTCACAAATACAGGTCAAGGCACCCCACAAAACTGATAGATGGCACGAACGAAAGACAAAATAGGCTAGACAAATTGTCCCAAGTGATTGAAAACAGCAGATCTACCAAATAAGACAGCTACATGTGCCTAAACAACGATTCCCATACAGTAGAGAGTAGTATCAAGCAGAATGAAAGCCTTGGAAGTGCACAAATACAGCCACGACCGCCACAAAAATTGGACGACCGCCACAAAAAAATTCTCATTGCTCTACCTCCTTGAAGGGTGAAAGTTACCAGTTATCCTATAGCGATGTCAGTTTATGCCTGTTGGAACCCCCCATAGCCCGCACGAAATACCTTTCAAATAATTCCAGGATGCAATTGCAGCTCCAGACAGGAGGAAGAAGAACACCGTGAAAAACAACGGCAACGATGCCCAAACTCTAGGGAAACGGCTGAAGTCTTCCTGAAGATGTTAACATTGAATAGCCATCGATTACCAGCGTGGTTTGGTGACTTTAGAACTGTTTTGAGACTTAGAACGAAGCTATCTCAAATTTGATGGAATTGTTACCTGTCAAATGCGTGGGCGAGCAGGCCAGCTGACTGGTTATGCATGAACATGCATGAGCATGCATTGATTTTTCATGGTTCACGTGCAGAAAACTAAGTTGCCGCGATCCAAGTGCAGCTAACAGCCGTGCAGCGCGAGGCGAGCATGGATCACGCTCGCGCATCTCGTTTCCACTCCCGATCCCGGTATTTGACGACTCCCTGTACGGTACCATGTGCGTTTTTTGGCCAAAAGTCATGTCCGCACGTGGCAGCCATTTGTGTGACGTAATAGGTCACGTGACATATATGACGTCATGGTTTTTCCCGAAAATCTATTGGAGACCGCATTGCAAGTCATTGAAAGAATCACCAGGCCAGAATAACCAATCTCACTCAACATTCACCCATTTTTGGGTGCCGGACATCACTTTTGGCCACCACTGTACATGTACATGTACGTGTACATGTACACGTACATGTACATGTACACGTACATGTACGAGCCGGTGATGGTACCTGTGCAGGATGGCAACAACCGCCCCACACTGCAGGCGGATTGGCTGGTCCGGGGAGTTTGGGAAGGAGACAGGGTGGCGTACTTTGACAACCGCATCGTGGATGCCGACGCACCCAGCTATGTCCGCTCGAACCTCTCTTGGAACGCCGTGTCCAACAGTGCTGCCTCTTCCAAGAAGAGAAAGTACAAGGCGGCCGCAGAGGAGCTGCGAGCATCCTTCACCCCGCTGGTCTGCTCAACTGATGGTGCACTGCACACAGAGTACCGTGCGTATCAACGGCGACTTGCTATGCGCCTTGCCTCCAGGTGGGACAAGTCCTACAGCAACGTCATGTCCTGGGTGCGGATCCACCATCAGTTTGCTGTTTTCCGGGCTGTCGACCTTCGTCTCCGCGGTTCACGTCGTCGTCTCGGTGGGCTGGCAATTTGCGATGGTGTCGGCCTTGGCGTTGGCCGTTAACATTCATGCGTATGGCACTTGTTGTTGTTGTGTGTGTGTGTGTGTGTGTGTGTGTGTGTGTGTGTGTGTGTGTGTGTGTGTGTGCGTGTGTGTGTGTGTTTGTTTGCTTTCCTTTTCTTTTCAGCTGTCATTTGCCCTGATCATGCCGCATGCGTGTTTCACAGCATAGTACATTTCCGCTCATTTTCTTCTTCAACACACGCTAGCTGTATTACTTTGTTCTTGCCCGTACAAGAGGCTTTTCCTACTCGATACTGTACACGTACATGTACACGTACATGTACACGTACATGTACATGTACATGTACATTACTACAGTACATGACATAGTAGTGCACGTGTACAATACACGTACAATCATGTACATTGTGGATCCTGCGTTACATGATTGTGTGACATTTCGGAACTTCTGTCGAAGGATTTCAAGTAAGGTTTCACCACCTTTCCTCTTCACCGCTATCTATGGACACAAATGCTGAACCACACCGTGTTACTTGTACAATCACGTAATCGTTAGTAGGATGTTGAGTTCCTGACTGAGTACATGTAGTAAATCTGATAGTAGTGCTGTCCCCCTAAAGAACCAAGACGGCAAGAGAAAGTTAAAACCAGTCACAAAGTATTCTGTTTCTGTCTCTGTTATGTATCATACATGTACATATTGTACTTGTTGGTGGTTGAGAGCATGAAACAAGATGGACGACACCGTGTTCGGAAACAGTGACCTTTCTACAACCATCCACGGTTGGTAGAACCCCGGTTGGTTGCGATCATCTGAACCGTATGGGTGTTAGACCCGGTTCTGACCCTCTGCCAACCAACAACAGGTTTGCACAAAACAAGGTTTATCTATTTAATATGATTGTACTTCGAAGTACTTGTACCAGGCCTTGTATAATGTAGTATTCATCAGTCCTCATCTCCGCTGTGTAATGCAATACAATCACCAAAATAATGCAGGTTGCAGGTCTTTGCGTTATGCTAGCGTGTACAGAATCATGTCTTGGTGGCCTCCTATCTCTCAGAGCCCGCCATCCCTCCTTCTCCTCTCCTGCATACGATCCAAGCCGGGATACTAGTATCGGTACTAGTACAGTATTACAATGGCCCAATGACCTTTTAAAACAATCTACCGGTATTCCGGTATTCGTTTCCTTGAAGTTTCATATACTACTACTATACTACCGGTAGTACTCTTCTCGGATTGCTTTCTCTCTTTCTTGCTTCCTCTCTTCAATTACTTGTGTACTCGTATCGGAATTGTCTTCTGCCCGTAAAAAGTGGTTTGGTCAGTAAGAAGGGAGTTCTGCTGGTAAAAGTAGGGACTTCAGACCACGTGACTTCTTGGCCCAAAACTGGCAAAAGCGTGCAAATCGACGCCTGCACAAATCGTGTGATGGTCATATGTCAAGTCGTGTAAAGAAATGTGGAACCGTTTTTCGAAATGAAGGAAGTCTTGTACAGTTGGAGAAAGTTTCGGTTCGTCTTGTTGGAGCTTGCCTTCGTTTGGGACCAGCAAGAATGGAGCTGTTACGTTCATTTTTGACGGAGATACGTATGCGGATGGAAGGGAAAGGTGAGAAACCATATGATCCGTCCGGGTCCCCTTCTTGAAAATGTGATATTCGTATTCTACGACCTCGAATTAGTCTAGATAGAAGGTAATCTTTATTGTTTTCACCTTCCAGAAGACCTATTTCTTGCATTATTCCTCTTTGTACTTTGCCGTGCAGCGCCGCCATAGTCACAGTATGGAAAGCAGCGAGAAGTATCCTGCGCTAAATGATGCTGATGTACAAATTGAATTGCTCTTGGCTGTTTCGGTCCATGCCTCGATTCTTGTCTCCAATGCTGTTATGCTCGATCTGGTTGAGCTCCGCAAGAATAGCTGAAAGAGTGCCGAACTGGGAGATGTGCTGTATACTCTTGTTGCTATTTGCTGTATCTCTGCTGATGATGATGTGCGTGCTACGATTACCCCAGCCAATGTCCTGTACATGTACATGTGCTTAGTCAGTGCCTCTTACGTGGTCATTCTTTTTCTTGACACCAACCACACCAACAGTCCGAAGCTATCTCAGGACTGTATTATCAATGTCTCCTGTTACTACCCACTACATAATCCTCATTGTAAACCATACTATTCCGCTATTTCATGCGGAGAATCAAGATTGTTTTTGGATCTGGTGTGCGGTTGCTATGCGTTGCCAAGGAAAGTGGGTTCTCTCAGTTTGACATATCTCTCTGATCTCAAATGTGTGGGACGTTTGTCGGACAAATCCGGTGATAGGCGATGACTATTTTGCTTGTAACTTTAGTTTCCTTTGTCCGATTTAAAAAAACTAAAGACCAAACTCCTCAGGAAGCTCTAACCTATCCAAAAAGCAAAACATAAGCCACAGAAAACCGATTTGAAAAAATGGTCTGAAGTCCCTAGTAAAAGCGAACCTGCGGATTTTAATAAAAAAAATTAATAATGCCAGTGGACTCTGTCTCTGATGAAGTCTGTGTGTCTGATGATCTCGTATCGGCCACTCGGCCCCGGCTGCTCTGGACTGGAGTCTGATCTCCGGAGCTCCGTCGACAGGTCGACCATCCATACTGCCCCATCGTCCATAGTCACGACTCATGTCATGACCATGCGGCATGCCTAGCGCCTTGGTTGACCTACGAGTAGATCTACGCCTACGTCTATCGTGACCAATGCCATTATGGTCTACGTCAAGACGTCTCTACGGCGCGGTCTAGCTCTCCGTAGATCTACGGACCGTAGTGTGTAGTTCGAACATGCATTCAGATTTCGATCTGGGACAGACTCAGTGCATGCAGTGCAATGCAGTGGGATGGGAGTCATAAAAGGCAACCTACAAGTACAAGGCTACATTTTAGTTTATGGCGACAGCCCGATTTCGATACTAATAATATTATTATTATTACTATGATTACACACGATACAAGTACAAGCGGTGTCGATGATAAAACTGAGAAGTAATTGTTTCGATTCTAATTCTGAGACGACTTTCTCCAAGATTAGGCCCATTGTGAGGTCCAGATCACCGCACTTTTCAGCAGAGTGTTCGCTCATAGCGCACCTCTCTCAGCGGCGAGTACCAATTAGGCAAAAGTTATCCAGCCTACGTGCCCTTACTGGTGCCAGCAGAAAGCGCCGTGATTTCTGATTGACCAGATGCGGAAATGGCTGACGGTAAGAAACCTGTGATTTGTAGCCAGCAATCCTGCACGATGCAAATGTACGATGGGCTGCAACTGGGAGCGATAGGACGGGCTCACAATTTAAAATTCCACTGTCCCACTTTCTGTTGCTATCGTCCTACGCGCACACGGAGTCATTATGACACGTTTTACATTCACTATAAATAAATTATGTAGGTGACAACAATACTACTGCATAAGTACAAATTTTCGTTTGGAATAAACTTTCGCTATATTCGTTAGGGGGCACGAAATAACTAAAGTTTGTGCCAAACTAAAGTTTTTTTCTGAACGTTCGGGGTGACAGACCTCGACCAAAAACGAAATTTAGTACGTTTACAAGCCTGCTGGTGGAGTGATCCAACGAAAGATTTTGTGAACGAAAATTTGTACTTCTACAGTTCAATGCCAGGATGTGGACATTTTTGAAACCAGACTTACGTCATGGGTTGGGGAGAACCAAGTTTCATGTAAAGCACTGCAGTATATTAAAGTGAGCTCAACGTCACCTACCGATCTACAAGTACTGGCCCGTGAAATCCAGCCAATCGAAATCCGAGCAGTGAGTTGCACGGCGGAGGTGTGACCTAAGCTGGGTTTCACAGCTGCAGGGCACCAAGGGCTGCTTAAGTTTGGGCAGAAAGGGATCAGTGATCGGGTTTTCACTGGCCAACTGTGAGTGTGTGTGTTTGTGTCTGTGTGTCTGTGCATGTGTGTCTGTGCATGTGTGTGTCTATCTGTCTGTGCATGTGTGTGTCTCTGTGTGTGTGTGTGTGTGTGTGTGTGTGTGTGTGTGTGTGTGTGTGTGTGTGTGTGTGTGTGTGTGTGTGTGTGCACTGCACCCTGGAACTGTTGGACGGTAGCAGCTTCAAGAGCTCCACGTGCACCAGTACGGCAGCTGAGCCATGACCAAATCAGTAAGGCAACTTACCAATCCGCTGGTTGGATTGAGAGAGTAATAATAATATTATATAATATTCGCGGGATCCGCGTTAGCATCACTTGAATGTTCAGAAACACACAAGCTATAGCCTTCGCTTGAGAGAGTCGATGAAAAAAACTTCCCGGCATTCTTCCTTTTTTTAATCAAATACTTACCAGGCCCACCGGAACCGGTCCGGTTGGTCAGGTCACCACTGGACCAACTTGTTGACCAGCACCAATGCATGTCTACTGTTGAGGAGGCTATGCTGCAGTATGCACCGTGACTCCTTATATCATACACAACGTGTGAAATGCTGTGGTATGACCTGACCAATCAAAAGCTGCTTCCAGCGCTCCTGCTTACATAAGGTAGAGTCATAAAAATAAGGAAGCTAATGCCATATTTGGTGTATATCTGTAATGTGCACGTTGGCGTGGGTAAGCATTTGGGGCATTTTTGAAGGGGAAGGGGGATTGTACTAGCTTGTCTTCCAGAAGATGCAACATCCCACAATCAGGGCCAGTTGCAAAGTTGCAAAGGTCGAAGGAGTGCTCAATGCACCGACGTACAGAGTGGTATATACACTTGCAGCTGTAATGCAGATGCACCATTCAGGCACGTGCAGCATCCTACGACCCCACTTCCTCAGTTACCTACACGGATTTCTGTCTTCAGTGCAAGGATGGCGCTGTGTTGACTAGTGAGTTGTGTTAATAACAGTGATATTGGCTGATTTGATCGATTTGCCTCTCAAGTGAAGTTAGCAACTCTGCTCTGTAGCACTGACACTGTGGCTTTGGAAGAAAGTGACGGTCTAAAAAAATCTGACGGAGATCTTGTGTTGCAATGCTTGGTCACCGTGAATCTGCTACACAGCGCAGTTAGCCGGTGCGTTGGGAAACGCAATCAGCCGTGGAGACCAGAACGCCGCAGCGGAGGTTGCGCGAAACTTGGCGGCCGAGCATTCGCAGGTGAGGGAACTGAATCCCTAGCTAAGCCGTGAATATGAGGGGTTGACAGTGCTGGGGTGCATGTAGAAGCGTTCTCGCTCCTACAGTTGGCATAAATGCAGAATAGCTGTGCTTTCACCATCACCTGAATTTTCTTTAGTTGTTTCGTATGTCCACACGTCTGAATGTGCGTACTATTGCTGGAAGTACACAATACTCTCTGTGCATGCAGTAGCTGTTCACACATACTTACCTCCTCTCCATCCCAATGTGCCATTGCCTCCCCCCCCCCCCCCCCCCCTCTCTCTCTCTCTCCTCCCTCGTTCACTGCATTATTTGAAAAGTATTTGTTCCGGAAGTGTCTTCTATGGCTTCTTCACTTTGCTTTATGTGCTCTGTGTTGGGCGATGATACTACTGTAACTCGCTATTGGCTATCATGTACTTTTCATGTACTTTTCTGTTCTCAGCTCGTTTTCCAGCCTAAGAATGCACCAGCTGCTGCACAACCTGGTGCAAGTGATCGCATAACGTGAGTTGCAAAACACTGGGTGATCACCCATCAAGGTATTGCTGTAATCACTCACTCACACACACACGTACACACATGTACACACCCGTGCACACACACACACACGTGCACACACACACACACACACACACACGTACACACACGCGCGCGCACACACGTGCACACACACACACACACACACACACACATACACACACGTACACACACATTGGATTGCACATACTGTAGAACGGGTAATTTTAGCGACGTAAAAACCCTGTCGAATTTAGCGATCGACTCATTTTCGCTAAAGTTTCAAGTCGCTAATCCGTTGAGACATTAGTAGTGCACTGGTGATCCGTGAGTAAAATCGCTGCAAATCGCTAAAATAAAACGTCGCTAACCGGTTGACAATGGGAACACGCAATAATTAATAGTCGCTAAAATTACCCGTTCTACAGTACACAAGTGCATTTCAAAGAACAATCAGGCACGCCACTCCCTTCAGGTGTGCCGCTGAGGTCACAGGTCCATTCATGCAGAACACAAGGTACGTTGTACAATAAAACCTGGTGTAAGCGACCTCTGGGTTTAGCGACCACCTGCTCTTAACGACCGTTTTTCCATGCACCGACAGTTCTACACAGACACAGTGGGACCTGATTCTAAAGACCACGTGACCTGGCTTTAACGACCGCTTTTGCTTGCACCGCGGGCTGGTTGCTTAAACCAGGTGTTTACTGTACATGGCCATGAGGTTGTAAGAAGATGCATGTCAAGTCATCCACCACCCAGTCAGCATTCTAGTCTACAGTAGTTGTTCACCAACTGCAGGGGATCTTGGGACCAGAATTTTAAAGTTGTACAGGGGATATTCATCAGTTTGAACTTGGAAAGTTGCAAACGGGAAAAGTCTGAAGAAAACCTTGACTGTCACCATCAGGACTCAAATCCGGGACCCTCGCTTATGACCAATGATGCTCTACCTCTAAGCTATGCTGTAGTCATCATTCAAGCAGTGACCGTTCAACACTTTCTTCAGACTTCGAAACTCACCGCATAGGGTTTTTTAACAGTTGTTTCATACGCGGCATGCCTACTTGTATACTCCGTGCTGTTTGATCCCGCAGGCTGACAGTGCACATTGAAGATCGCATGGAGGTGGCCGACAAACCCAAGGTGACCGTCAAGATCTGGCCCGGCATGACGTTTCTCGAACTCAAACTCATGGTGAGCACTGTGGCTCGGTCAACAATGAATCCTTAGTAGATAAGTTAATTGTGTGCTATAGTGGCCCGGGTTGTACTTCAAAAACTGACCGCACTGATACTTTCAAGTAACAGCCTTGATTCTGGCTGTACACAAAAAGACAGTAGCTGTTTCACTTGGACATACCGATGTCCCCAAGCCAAGGACCGTTTCCGAAAGTCAAGCAGAATACATTTTAAATCTCTCTGCTAAATATTAGACACCTGGTTGGCTCTGAGAATTGATGTCACGCGGCCTGACACGTGGCTGGCTGGATGCATGGGTTTATGATATTTCCTTTCTCTTTCAATCAATTCGAAGACAAACGATAGCAACATTGCCTTCTGATCTGGACTAGACAGCTCCCACTGGCCCTCTCTGATTCACTTGCTCACACTTCAACTCACTCACTCAAACTTCAACTTGTTGAATCCAGAGCATCAAGAAGGAGACTGCTGCAACCGTTCTTTGAGTGTGCCTTTCTGGCGTAGATGTGTATTCCTGAACAGAACTAGACTCCCACTAGCGGTACGCGTGTGAGTAGCACCGTCATGCTGCTGGAGAGAGAGAGAGAGAGAGAGAGAGAGAGAGAGAGAGAGAGAGAGAGAAAAAGAGAGAGAGCCTGAGACAGACAGAAACCGAGACACGCAGATACGCAGACATACAATTGGACATGACAGAGATGGACAGGAAGACAGACTGAGAGAGAATGTGTATGTGATAGTAGCCTACTAGAGCATTGAGCTTCCGAAATCGTTTATAAACTGCTGGAGAAAGCAAATTGCTAGTCTAGTATTATAATATGCCTTCTTTTTGCTTGTTCTCATGCAGTTTTACGATAAATATGATCTTCCGGTTGAGTGCCAACGGTGGATACACAACAAGAGTATGAAGAGTGATCGCGACACTCTGGCAAGCTCAGGAATCACGGCGTCGGGCCACACTCTTTTCCTGTATCTCCTGTCGAAGGAGGCGGCCCATCTACCGTGCAGTCGGCAGGACTATCGGCCGCCGAATATCCCTAGAGGTGCGAGTACGCATCGTGTTCTGAGGCGGACACTACGCTGCACTTGTACTGTGCAGGGATATACGCTGGAAAGCTAGTTGACAAAATAATACAGTCAGATCTCACTTTTAAAACTATGGGTGCTTGTATTCATGACAACGGTTACTAGCATACGGATAACCAGGGCGGGCGGATAAGTGATAACCGCTTGAACTGTGGCTTGTGGTATGTTCTGTACATCTGACCCAACCAGTTTTCCAGCAACAAGCTGATGCATGAGCAGGTAAAAGAGAATTGGTTTTAAAGGGATCGAGGTTTGGTTGCACTTCAATGTACTGCTACCCTTTCCAGGACAATGTACATACAGGCACAGGTTAGGCACAAGTGGTCTATGTGATTGTACTGTTGGTATTCAGTGCGCTAAAAGGTTTTGTTGATCTGCCGGGCCACCACTGTGCGGAGCTCGGCCTTGTTTTCTCCAGAAAACAAAGTGTCGCGCATGCATCCTGTAAATACGACTTGGTGTTTGTATGCGTCTTCTGCAAATGTGTGTTGTCGTACAGCACATACATCAGCACAGCAGCCCACGGGGACAGGTGCTACCAACATGCAGCCGTCGTCGCCAGCAGCTTACATACAGACACCAGTGCAAAGTAAGCCTGGGAATGTCCATGCACTGGCCACAAGCACCTTGTGTCACTGACGCATGCATGCTGATGCAGGCTGTCACCGGTTGGCACTTTGCGTGATCACACGTGCACACAGGTGTGTGTGTGTGTGTGTGTGTGTGTGTGTGTGTGTGTGTGTGTGTGTGTGTGTGTGTGTGTGTGTGTGTGTGTGTGCGCGCGCGTGCTGTGAGAGGGATGTCATATCACACATTATCCCATAACCGCACTCGTTTCTCACTACCTTCTCCCTTCTCTACAGGGTTATACTGGGCAATATTTATGTGTATGCTTCGGAAGCGTACGGATACCATAGCAATGGCAATCCAACCCTAAGGTTCTCTGTAATAAAATAACATAATTCTGTTGAGAATCCCTACTACGGTAGGAAAATCACGAGCTCCAGCATGGGGAACAACCACTCCAGCATGGGGAACAACCACTCCAGCATGGGGAACAACCACTCCAGCATGGGGAACAACCACTCCAGCATGGGGAACAACCACTCCAGCATGGGGAACAACCACTCCAGCATGGGGAACAACCACTCCAGCATGGGGAACAGCCACTCCAGCATGGGGAACAACCACTCCAGCATGGGGAACAACCACTCCAGCATGGGGAACAACCACTCCAGCATGGGGAACAACCACTCCAGCATGGGGAACAACCACTCCAGCATGGGGAACAACCACTCCAGCATGGGGAACAACCACATTTCCTATAAATCCCTAGTAATTTTTTTAACTAGTTTTGAAGTAGTTTGTATACTATCTATAGGCATTGTTATGTGATTGGAATAATTGAATAATTTGAGATTGGACGATGGGATAGAGGTGAGGGGGGGGGGGGGGGTATAGTAGTTTCTAATTTATCAAACCATACGGTATCACAACAGAAGACCAGTGTGTATGGTGCATGAAAGCATTTAGAAAGGTGTACGCACACGCTGTACTTTGCGCATAACGCCAAACACGTGTCTACACGCACACACGCGACCACACACGCACACATACATGTATACCGTACTCACTTGATTAGAAGCCCCTCTCGAATAAAAGCCCCTCTTGAATAATAGCCCCCCTACAAGGACTGTCTCAAAAAATACAAGCCCCTCTCGAATAGAAGCCCGGGCTACTATTCGCAAAGCATGAGGTGACCAGGTAGTGCCATGTATGAAGGTCAAGTCTGAAAAAAACATCTCGTGCATGTTCCTTTTGGTACATGTCCTGGTCGATGTAGTGTGTGCAAACTAACTCGGGGCCGAGTTGCTGTGAATATGAACGTTTTAGAGATTCGATTGGAATACTGGTATGGAATGAAACAATAGAAGCCCCTCTCGAATAGAAGCCCCTCTTGAATAGAAGCCTCCTCGAAATTGGTATTGAAAAAATAGTAGCCCCCGGCTTCTAATCGAGTGAGTACGGTACTCGTACATACTGGCAGAGGGCCATTCCAGGTACGGAGGGCGTTTCGCACTGGCTTTCTTATCAAACGTCTGTGTTATGTACCCACCTTGTGTGCAGTGGAGCCACAGCCTCTGCCAACGCACATGCCACTAGAACCAAACATGCCACGTGTGCAGGAGCAGGATACCGGTGCACAGCCGAACGTTCGGCAACAAGCAGCAGACGTACGTGTCACTTTCTGTGTCTCTTTTTATTCTATACCCCCATTGCCTCATAGTTCTGCGTGGTTACATTTAAACGGTGACGGTGGCTAAATTTAACCTATTTGTAGACTCACAGTAAAGGGTCAGAGTACTGCCGTCAGCTCTATATCACTGTCCCAGTAAAAAGCCATTGGACTACGCACCGACTACCGCAGTAGCCTGGTGATGCATTTGATCAGTGCAGTACGGGGCCCCGGGTCATCACACCCACCTACATTGAAAAATGCTTTGCACACCTGGCCACCCTTCTGTGTCTGTGCCTCGCAATCTTTGGAGTACACTCAAACGCCTCTTATCCGGACGCCTCAGATACGGGCACGTCTCTCTACCGGGCACCTTTAGCTTGAGTTCCTATGGCAAAAATGCTTCGAATTTGGGGGTTTTGAACTTTTTCCGTATTCGGAAGTGCTTATTTTTCACTGCCAACCTATGTAATCCACACATTTTTACCAATGGGTTCCTTTTGTATCCTGAACATGTGCAATACGTTCCAAATAAAGTTCTTCAAAAAGTGATTATGATACATGGTAGATGAGTTATTCTGAGATACGGGCAAATCTGAGATACGGGCAGTGCCCGTTCCCAAGGTGCCCGGATAAGAGACGTCCGAGTGTACTGCTATAAACCAGACTTCAGTGTCAATAAAACACTATTTAAAATACAAGTTTTTTTTTAAATAGAGACTTAGTCGGAGGGAAACATATTAGAACACGAAGAGACAAAGCCAGTTGAAAATCTGATGAGGCCTTTCGTACCAGTACTTCTCGGATCAGTACATGGTGATAATGTGACGAAGCACAACAATGTGCTTACAATGTTTACTGTTATTCCAGGGTGCGACATAGCGAGAGAGAGAGAGAGAGAGAGAGAGAGAGAGAGAGAGAGAGAGAGAGAGAGAGAGAGAGAGAGAGAGAGAGAAGAGAGAGAGAGAGAGAGAGAGAGAGAGAGAGAATGTTTATTGTTCCAAACATTATAAAAATACATTTTGAGGAAACGTTCTGGATTCCTTGCTCTGCATCTAGTTGTTGTAATGTCCATTTCCTTGGCTTATGTGTGACGCGTTGCATCTGCCTTTGTCCACTCCTCCAGGAACCATTCCTGTGGCGTCCGCCTGACAAGAAGAGGCAAGTGCCGCCGGTATTCAATGCCGAGGTCAGCTCCTCCAACCCGGCGGCCACAGCCCAGCAACTTGCCAACGCCCTGCCTATGAATATACCTATGAATATACCTATGGCTGGACCGCCGCCGCACCACCAGCAACAGCAACAATACGAACACCCGCTGTATGAGCACCAGCAGTACGATCACCAGCAGCCACACCACCAGCAGCCGCAACTACACCAGCCACCACAACAGCAGCAGCAGCAGCAGCAGCAGCACCTTGAACTGCGTCTTCCCACGAACGACCTAGCTCTCACTGGTAACGGCGGCGGGACAGTGGCCGGTGGTTCCTCACCAGCGGTGGTGGCAGCTGACTCGGGACCGCTGCTAGAATCTAGCGACGAGATACCCGAGGATGGCTGGAACTGTCCTGTGTGTACGCTGCGGAATCATCCCACGCGACCGGGATGCTCGGCGTGCACCAAGGAACGGCCAGCGGACTATGTGTTGCCTGAGCGCTACGACCGTCAGGAGGAGATAATCCGTGCACAGGTGCGTGCGGAGCAGGAAAGACTCCTGACTGGAGTCACTCACAATCAGGTAAGAAGACAGTCACAGCTGCTGAGTGAGGGTCACCGGCAGGAGCTGCTGTGTTCGCTGTTCTCTGCCATGAGGGATACTTATGCCTGGCTCACACTAGTCCGATTTTTCGGCCGATGCTCCGACACCGACTTCCACATGAAGTCGGCCGACTGTGTCAGACTAACACACAGATTTTTCGGGAACTTGTGAGACCACACTGTCCACACCAGGCAATTATTTGCGCCGATCTTGAGGAGTTTTCGTATGATTCCGTATCGGCCGAAAAATCGGTCTAGTGTGTCCCAGGCATTCATGCGGTGCCTATGCTTGTGCAATAGCTACATGTACACTGCACAGTACCATACAGTGCACGCAAATCAACTGCAAACCGCGCATCGACTACCGTAGCCTGTAGAGATCAAAGGCTTACATGAGCTGCCACAAAGCAAGCACATTGTAGGAGGCTGTAGGACCCAGAGCCCACTGATAGAAAGAGGTAATATTAAGGCAAATATAGCGAATTATTGCCTTCTTTAAAGTATTCGACCCCACCGATTTCCCCAATACCTAGGCAGTCAAGTATAATATTGCATATTGATATTCGATTCCTTTTTGGAGCAGACGATCAATAAATTAGATTGACCTCATAGTAGATCTATACATGCTATATGGACCTCGTCATTGGTCAATAATCTATACAAAGGGTTGCTATTTTTCGATGTTTGCTTTACACGCACAGGCACAAGGAGCCCCTGGGCCTGGACAGGGACTGCCAACGCCCGATGCATAGCGTAAACACGCACGCACGCACACCGCCACAGCTGATTGCCAGGCGTGCCGCTGACTGCGCAGCCATCATGACGCCGGGAGTCCGATCAACCATAGTGTATGTGCTAGCAGTATGTTGAACTTCTTCTTGATAACCAAGTGATGTGTAGGGAATGGTGTCACACTCAAATATATACTACAGATTACAGACTGCAGTAAATGATCATTGTGTTGCACAGAACATGGCAATGGTGCTCACACCAATTTTTCCTCTTTTCCTGTTATGAGTAAATAACAAATAGTTTCTTTTTGCTCTGTTTTGGTGTTGAGTGCTTTATATTTGCATTGCAAACACTTAAAAATGGCTGAACCTGGCTGACAAGGTCAAATTCTAAGTGCACATGTTTGTGATGTGTAGAGTCAAGATCCAGGTCTATGTGACGTGAAATCTGAAAACGGGAAAGGGAACTCCCCGGCTGTTTGGGGCACTGAAAGTCTACAAGAGCTAGAAGAAGGTCAAGCAAAAGCGTTGAACAGAGTTAGACTTGCGGTCTAGAAAACACTGTAAACACACACACACACACACACACACACACACATGCAAGCACATACGCACGCACGCGCACGTGCGTACACAAACACACACACACACGAAAGCACACATGAAGCACACACGCCCCCCCCCCCTCCCCTCCACACACACATACACACACACACACACCGTCACACACACACACACACGCTGGAATTTTCGAGTGTTGTGATTGACTCCCAAACCTGTGCCGCGTGTAAGATGTACAATCTACACGAGAACATAATCTTTCTCCAGATGTAGATACAACAGGATAAGAGGAGGAGAGATTGTAGATACAGCAAGCTGAATATCTTATCGGAAATACGCATACGGAAATACGTACTGAGAAAAATAATATCCGTACAAGAGAGCAAAGTCCGGGCACTCTTTAGTATGTTTTACACATACATGTAACTGCTGATGGATGGCCAAATGCCGGCCCGTGCATATTGCTGTACGGAGCCATGGTCTACATGCACACATGAACGTCGTGCGTACAACCAAGGTTTTGTGGTCCTGGCCTACACGAGTCCCTGATTAGAATGCAGAAGTCGGCTGGAGAGCTGTTCCGTGGTCCACCTTCCACACGCCGACATAAGAACATACTAAATATTCCAACGCTATAATTCATGCCAATGGGAAGGATAAGCAGCTGCCAAAAGTACAGCGTAGCAAAGAGGTCACAATGTGTGGTAGTCAGCCATTCGAAAAGTCCATTACTAAAGATAAATACCTCCTACTTCAGTAAGTATATAGTATGTTGGTAGCAAGAGTCCATGGGGTTATGAACTCTTGTTGCAGTGGTACTTGGTGTACTGTATGGCTGCACTACTGCACATAATTCTACATGACTGTTCTCTAGTCTTGATAGTTGCAATTCCTACTGTACTGATGAGACAATGAACTCAAATACATGTAAATACATTACATTTTGCAAAATACAAAAATACATTGTAGTCTGTATCACTGTATCCATACCATTCTGGCCACACAAGTCACCTAGCGGCAACAGCTACTAAACTAGATGTACAGCACATCGGCCACACTGCTTTTTCTATAAGTAATTAAGTATATCCGGCAAAACTAACAGTGTAACGTTTCAAGCTACATGGTTCAAGTGATCACTGTCCTCCGATCTGCCACTCTCAGCTGGCTGTGCTTTGGGCAGTGGTGATCCTCACTGCTGCGGGCTGGTAGCATGCTCACCAAAGAAGTGCCTCAAAAAAATCATTTGGCAGGAGTTCTTTGTGGTTTGTGAGCGGTGGCGGAACGGAAATATGTTTTAGATTACCACCCACCCAAATGCGGTCCATGGACATCATATCGGGTGAAGACAAGATGCATCGGATGCCATCTCCTGTTATCTGGTTTTTCACCAACGACACCATCTTCAATGAGCTGGTCGTCCGCTTCATGTCAACTAGCTTTTTCACTGTGTTGTCACCCAGCTTGTTGCGATCCAGGAACAAAACTTGCAGATTCTCGTGACCAGTCAGGGCTGTGAGTAGATCCACTGCGATGGCATCCGTCATTCCTGTGTCGCCCATGCTAACAAACCGGAGGTCACAGCAAAGCGGCAACGATGACATGAATGTCATGTAGGAGTCCACATCAGTCACTCCATCCTTGAAGACAGGATTCTTATTCAACGACAGCCACTGCAATTTACCTTGCGTAGATGAAGCCACTATTGCCGCCGCTCCACTAATGCTTATACTATTCCTATTGAATTGTAGCATGTGTAAAGTTGAGTTGAACTGGAGTCCCTGCCTTGCCAATGCCTGGACACCGTCATCTTTAATAGCACTGTCAGCCAGGTTAAGTTTCCTGATACTGCTGTCACCGGCAATGAATTTTCCAAGGCTCTCCATAGTTAAGTTTGATACTTCGGCCTTGAGGTTGCCTCCATATTGCGCAACGATGTCCTTCACATCCCTCTGGCAAGTACGCCCAGAAGTGATAGACCAATCGGCTATAACTATTTCATCATCGCCGCAGTGTCCAGCCTTCTCCAGTGCCTTCAGCAGAGACGCGTCCACATCATTTCCAGTAAGATTCATGCAGCATGGTTGCTGCAATTTGTTGGGCCGTGCCTGTGCCTTGTCTGCTGATGCGGTGTTGGTGTGAACACGCCTTGCCTTCAAGAAGTTATCTATATACGAAGCAATGCCATTGGTGAGTAGGTTACTCCCAAGGTGGATATCCTGTATACTATGATTGTGCTGTAGGGCTGACAGTATACAGGCGGCGTCCTCGTCCTTGAGGTCATTGTAGGCCAGACTCAGGATAGTCAAATTTGGCATGGACAGTATCAGTGACGAAAGGGCTGTACCACATCCCGTGAACAAACCAATCTCCTCCGCACACAAGTTAGACATGCTCAGGAAAGGTGTTGTAATTTTTGTTTGGAGTAGTTCCAGCGAAGCGTTTCCCAAGTCATTGCTCAATATTTGTATAGCGCGGAGATGGGGCAAGCGAAGCAGCTTAGACAAGGACCCCGCGTCTTGCTCTGTTAAACATGCGCCTGAAATGTTCAGTTTTGCAATGGTGCAATCACGCTGCATATGTTGAGAATGGGATAGCGCTGCAGCGAAAACTTCCAGCGACGCTCCGCTCAGGTTGTTCCCGCTAAGGTTCACATAAGCGCATTGTCTCAGGTAAGGCGCTATCTCCGTGATCTGATCTCTAGAGAGGTTGCAGTTACTGATGTCTACAAGGTGTACTCGCTCAGACAGTCTCAACACATTGCACAAAGCTGATATGTCACTATCGTTCAGATGTATGCCTGACAAGTTAACTCGATGTGATGTTTGCAGTAGTATTACGGCGGAGCGGACGAGATCTTTACACTGATCGTCTCTGAAAGACAAGACGGGAGAGCTGTTGTATGAAAGACTGCACTCCAGTAAACACGACATCAAGAACAAGATGAAGCGGCGTTGCTGGAGCACTGACTTGTGTGTTGATGATTCAGCCAGCATGACTTTAAACAAGTCAGGCAGGAGCTTAGTGTGAATAGAACCCGCAACAAAACGCCAGAATGGCTGCGTTTCCTCACCCAGGCCAATTTCCGAGACGTATTGTGAAATATTCGAGACGAAGAAGGACTGCTGCGTTGCGAAACTACGTGCTGCACAGAACTCTTGTATGGTAAGGTGAAGAAAGGCAACACGTCGCCCAGCACTGCCACTGGCTGATGACTGGTTGTCCACAGGGACGAGGAATCCTAGTTGCTTACACAGTGTCAAACAGTCATCCGGCATATCTGAGGATGAAAACCAGGCGCGGCCCAAAAGTAAGCGTTCCATGGACAAACGATACAGATGGCACAATGCTTGCACCAACTCTGCGCCATCACATAGGGAACCAGCAGGCTCTTGCTGAACGTGATGCTCCAGGCCGTTGGTAATGACATCATGCACTGATAATTGATCTCCGGCCTGGAATCCCCCACTGTACGTATGACCACTGGTTGGAGTCTGGCTGAGTGTCACTTTGCTGAACTGTTTTCCCCGCTTCCTCTCCAGCTCTGCAACAGCTGAACACATGAACTGCACGTAGAATGATGTCGTACACGGCGGTACAGCCTCGGATACGGCAAACTCTTGGCAAAGGAGAGCGGCCAGCAGTGGTGTAGTCTGCACGGCATGCTTCAGGTGCTTGCGAGATGCCTGCGCTAACTCAGCCAAGCACTTTTCAGCACTCTCCGCGCCACCCAACTGTTGGCAGCAGAAGTCCCGTAATTGTGCATCAGTGAAGCCAGTCAGCCGGTAGTAGGCTGCACATTGTCGTACCAGATCAGTGGCCTTGTTGCAGGGCCGGCTAGTGACAACCACGGACGCATTCACCAGCCGATTTTTCTTAGTCTCGTCCATGAATTGGCAGGCTGCTGATGTGTACTGGAATGCATCCTTCCCGCCTTCATCCACGCCATCTAGAAGCAGGAGAACACGTTCAGAGTTCGCTGACAAATATCGCAAAACCTCTTCTCGCTCGTCCGAAGTTATGTCCAGGGCGTGGTGATCCAACCCCAGAAACTCTGTCCACTCACTGGTGCTAACACGGTCCGTATCTCGGCACGAGATTGGAATGACAAAGTCAAAGTGCTCTTGCATTAGACCAGATGCTTCATCGCCTGAATAGTCGGCCATCACACGTCGACATGCCATTGTCTTGCCTTTACCAGCACCAGACATCAACATGCAACGCTTCAACAACTTCACTTTCTGGCCAGACGACGACGCACCTCTGCTATTACTACTTGCACTGCGCGTCGGTTGTGCGTCGGATTTGGGATCTTTCATCAGTAGCTGCAATGGATTGTGGAGTTCAAAACTGCATTTGCTGTCATCCGCAAGGTCGGCAAGGAATTCTGATGCTGAGGGACCGGGCTGTGCTCTGTTGCCCTTGCTTCGCTGAACAGACAGACGCAGTGCTTCGCGTTCAGTCATCGCCGTCATCGATACAAATGTGTCCTCCACACTTTCTTGTGTAGGTGCCATGCTTGCGTGCCGTGATTGCACTTCGCACTGCTTCTTCAAGTGTATTTTATAACGCTCAATGGGGCTTTTATCACCGTGGTATCTGCCTTTCAGAATCGCATTCTCTATCCAGGCCATTGCGTCAGTATATGGTATACGAGGCCGGGCTAGATCGCACTTACTAGCCGTTTCTTCACATTCCTCTGCTATGCAGCGCTCACGCTCTTTCTGCAGCATTTCGGCCATTGCTGGTTGCTGCACGGCCAGCACTGCCTTGCAGAACGCATCGAAAACGTTTTCCGACTGGAAACTATCGCTGGTCTTCTTGGCAACAAGTAGT